AGTGAGGGAAATGACCTGTACTGTAATATGTGCATTTTCTGAGTTATTGCTACTTGTGATTCTTCCACTAATATTATTCAAATTAGAATTTTTAATAAGAATTATATCATGCTTTATTATATGTACTGTATGTATTATTTATACTTTGAGCCCACAGTGTTTTAAACAATGCTCAGGAACGCAGGAGAAGACATGCCAAATAATGTAAAGCCCTAGGCTATGATCCATCCTGAAATCAGGTGTTTATGGAGTTTCACTAAGATCACTAAGCTTTCCTTGGGTACAAGGGATTACCTAACATGGATCTGACTACAAAATTGGAACTTAAAATGGTGAAAAAACAGGTAGAAGGATGAAAGAACTTGATATGACTTATCCAGGAATGATCAGGGGTTTTTACACCATATTAATGGCGTTTTGCCATGCTATTCTTAATATTTAAATATTTGGCACAAGACAAACCCTCCGGTTTTGTTTTTAAACCTGTCATTATTGCTTTCATTTCCATTATTACTTCTAACCTCACACTCTTTCTTTAGTATTCGAATTTTGCTTTATTTGTTATTTGGGAGGATTAGGTTGGTATTACAGTTTCAGAATTAATTCAGTGGTTGTTGTGATACATTTATAGCCTAAGGACCACATCAACTGCTTCTGTATTGTCTTTGGTGGAATAAAATCATTTCCCAGTTGGAAGGTTGTCAGTGAGGTACTTGAGCCTATAATCTTTTGCACAAGCAAAGAATTTCTGTATATGTAGGACCATTCTTTATACTATATGGACATTCAAAGTAGGCATTTTTTTGCCTTTTGGTGATAATGGCCAACTGAAAAAAGTAATATTATTCAAACCAACTTATGAGAGAGGACAGTTATGTAAGTAAATGTCCAAAAGGCTTTTTTCAAGAACATGCTGTGTTTTTGGACTGGTGGACATACTGTAGAGTTCATCCAAGGTCAGAATTTCTACCCTGTGAGAAACTCCAATACTTGTATGTTCATTTTCATCACAAATAAAATAAAATCATAATATTTTTTAAAGTGGAAGTTTTCATTTCAGATTAACTCAGCATTTTAGTGCATCTCCTTCATCTGCTGTAGTGCACCATAGAAGTCAGCGCTACAAAGATGTCTGAACTACAGATCCCATGAGACAATACAGCAGCTCAGACAAAAATAATTTAAAAACAGAATGATCTGTAAATATTTAAAATATTGTCATCCGTAAAAAAATGATACTATAAATATATTTTCTGTTGATAAAACATTCTTACAAAAAATTCCCAACCAGCTCCAGTTAGAATATTATGGAACTGGTACTTTCTTAATTACCAAGATATATAAATTGCTTAAATGATCAGTTCCCATATTCCATGGGAAAGTAACTTCCTGACTGTGGTGCACTATAAAATATAGATGTACTATATGTTAGTTTGTTGTTCACATAAGCACATTGGTAAAGACATGTATCTGGTAAGATTAAATTAGTTCTAACTGGGTGCATCTACATGTGCAAATAATGCAAAGCAATAAACTCCAGAGCAGTTTGAGTCACAGTAAACCAGTCCTGGGCAATTTGACCTAGGGCAGAGGAGGCCCAGGCTGGCAAGGAGTATGGGGGGTCAGCCCCAGGCTCTGTGTGATGGTGGAGGGTAGCAGAAGGCTGGCTGGGCCAAAGGGTGCTAAAAGTGCAGAGCTGTGTGTCTAGGTAGCAGGCAGGAGTAAGGCCCCCAACTGGCTGGGCTGACTGAGTGCAACTTGCACTTGCAGTCAGTGTTTACAGGTACATTTAAATTGCAGTAAATTACACCAGCATAAGATAGTACTGTCCTCAACAGCACTGTCAGATACCAGCATAAATTAATTTACTGCGGCCTAATAGAATGATATATGTAGATGGTAATGCTTTACTCAGCAGCTAATTACTACTCTGTAGTAAAGTACATGTGTAGACATGGCCACTGAGGACCTGATTCTACCATCTATACTCAGTAGCAAAACTGGGGGGAAGGAATGGTGACAGGACATTGTCAGGAGTCCAAAAATAGCCATTGCAGCAGCTGGTGCCCAAGGCAAGAAGCTGCTGTGTTACACCTCTGGCCATACATAAATCAGCAATGTATTCTGCTTCACTAGGACTAGTGATTAAGGTGTGCTTACATGCAATTTCAAGCCCCAAGCTCTCATTTTTACATACCTGAGACCAAAAATAAAGATTATGGACAGCTTGGGCATATCCCCACTAGTGAGAACATGCATTTCCTCAAGGACAACTAGCAGCGGCATGTATTTAATATGTGCCACCACTAGTTGTTCCCAGGCATGCCCCTGCACGCATGCTCTGGTGCGTTACAAATTGCCCCAGGTGGGTTAGTGGAGGCTGGGACCAGCACCTGAGCTGGCCCCAGCAGCCTCTTCTGGAGTTCCAGGGACCTCCTGGGGCTGCAGTGGCAGCGATCCAGGTGCACAGAGCCTGGCCAGCAGCCAGAGTATGGTTCTGGTTGGACAGGCTCTGGTTTCACACTGCAGTCACATGCGCCACCCTGCATTTTTTTTTTTCTGGCGCAGGTTTTTTGACACTGGGATATCCTGATGCTAAAAAAAAATCTGCTGTACTGCTCATTAGCAGCATGGCAAATGTGTGCACGTCTCACATGTGGTTTGCGGTGATACAAACCACACGTGCACACTCACGGGGATACACCCCTTGGATTCTTTAACCCAGCTATTCTTCAGAATCTGAATATGCACGACTACATCAAAGTCAGCAACGCTTTGGCCCACCAGCTAATGAGGACCAGTGGACTGTAAAATGTCAGTATTCTGCTGTGCAGAAAATCAAAAGCTGAAGGACAAATGTATTAAAGGATTTAATATATAAATCACTCTTTATACTCCTTGAAGCTTTGAAAAGGGGAGGCAGGGAATCTTCCTCTTACATTATGAACAGTTGGTTTTAAAAGGGCAACCTGCCCTCGCTTTATTAAGAGGTGTATCATGCAAATTTCATTTTCTGCTGCTTTAATCATTTTGGGGGAAAACGGATTCATGAAACTTGATGAACTTGTTTAACTCAAAAGCCTGAAATGCACTAAAGTAAAAAAAAGAAAGAAGCATGCATCTTTGTCTTTTTTTTCTGGTTGTTTCTTGCAGACATAAAATTATTTATAAAATGTAGATGCAGTGGCACAGATGCTGAATGGTATGTTATGTTAGCAAGAGTTCTTGTGTCATGCAAAGCAACTGAAAATCAATATTATTGATCTAAACATGCAAATACTTCATTTTGTTATAACAGCCCTATTCCAGATGCAGAAAGTATGTTTTTGTGGTTTAAAGTATTTATGTTAAAATAACTAGAGTTTTGAAATCTACCATAATTAAACTTGCTTACGTGGAAATCTCCAAAAGCCAAAATACAAGTCCAAGGTCCATTTCATGACTAGTGTCTTGCTGAGCTAATGACTTGAGTAGCACCAATGTCCATCCTGAACCTTGGTTGTGCATTGGGCTGGCAAGGATAAAATGCATTTGTATCTTTAGCCAATGGTACAAGAGTGAGTGATATGACCATCAAGCCACCTCTGTCCCCAGCCTGAATAACCAGGTGGTAAGTTACATCTAGATTGAATTAAATCAGCCTTCAGGATAAGTGTGGAGGAGGGCTCAGACACATGTCTCTGGATCAAAATACATTAACTGCTTGGTTGCTGCACCCCTTAGAAGCCATGATGCTTTTCCTAATTTCTTTCCCAGCTTGTTTGAGAAGCAGACTTCACCCAATACTTGGTGCTAGATCTAATACAGGCCTTGGGTAGAATTTAGGTGGAATTGAAGAAATAAAGTCCAAAATGCTATCTTAAAACTTCCCATTTTAGTTACTACCTTAACTGAAGGGGGCATCTTAATTCCATAGATTTTCACTTTAAATTGCCCTTTTGGCTCTAGAATTGTGCCCCTACACCTGCTCAGAAGTATCAGATTGTGTCACTGAGCCACTCAATGCTTAGCTCACAGCTCAGCCTGATCAGATTGAGAAACCCAGGCTCCTTGAAAAAGGTATTAGGGAAAAAAATACACTTGGCTTTGTTTATCCCTTATAAATAAAATAGCCTCTCTTGTTTTTACACTAATTAACCTAATATGAATTGACTGTTTACAGAAATGTATGCCACTATATAGGCAGATGATGTACATTTACTTAAATGAACAGATACAAAATAAATAATCTTGACAGGAACAGACAAGAAAAGAGAGATGACAGGTATAAAAAACACTGAACAGTGGGAAGGAATATACTGTGTTCTGCACAACATCTTATCAGTACCAGAGTACAGCACAAGACTTAACAGCAAATTCCTCATGTTACAGATTAAACTGGCAGTACATGTTACTGTACACTAAACAGATTGTTCAGTGTGAGTGTACATGCCACAATGCAACCATGCTGTAGCAACAGGGAAATTTAAAATGAGATGGTGCTTTTAGAAAACAGTGCTTAGGAAAGATAACACTTGCATCTACTTTGCATTTGTATTACGCCTCTGCTGATGGGTTAACCTAAGTGAGATACACATCTTATTTTCATAATGGGATGTGAGTCTTAATGCTACAGAACTATACCTCAGTACTATAGAAACAATAGTGTGTTTGAGATGGTAGACAACATTGAATAGTCACAATTTCAAGTCCTTTGTTACCCCTGAAAAGATGACATTTGTTCTGCACAAGGTAACTTCCGTGGGAAATGAGTTTGGGATAAACCAAACCTCAAAGTTAAAGTAAAATAGTGACACTCTAAGATTGCAACAGTTTGGAATTATTCTCCTGTAAGTAATTTTGCATTGTGGATGTCAGCTGTAGCTGCAGTGATCTCCAGTTCTTGTTTTCTCCTTTGTATCTTGCATAAGTAAGTGTGTTTGGTTTACAACCCTAATTTGCCCAGAACCGCCTCCTTCTGTTGAAAGTTAAAAGTCACAGAACCTGACAATGACTGTACACGCAGCTCCCACCCTGTGTGTGTACAGGGTGTGTAAATCAGAGCAGCTGGAGTCAGGGTTACAATTTGCTGATCAGTGACTATATTGTGTATGTGTTTATGTATGTAGTTTGTGTACAGCTGGAGGGGTTCCCTCTTGCCAATGTTAGGATTAAAAATATATTAAGGCAACCTCAGGAGCTTGGACTTAAAAACAAAAAAAAAAGGTAAAAGGGAAAGAGAATACTTCACCATACAGGGAAGTTGATGTCTTTTCTTGAAAAGTTTACCACTTCTAAAGTTAACTTCTAAGAAACTGCAGATGCCTGGATAAAACGTGTCTTGGACAACATGCATCAGCTCATATTTTTCTATCAGCATCTCCTACTTGTTGCTTACCTCTCTTGGATTTCCTTGTTGAATCTTTACATTGAGTCAGCTCCATTAGGTAAGGATTTTGTACTTTCTAATCATTTGACAGTGATTTCATGGGTGTATGTTGTGAAGTAAGAGGAACAGCTTGTTTACACATTCTCTTGAACAATAGCTACAGGGACAGAGTATTTTTTTATACAGTGTATTGAAAATCAGGATGGAAATGAGATCAAAATGTACAATTAACAAATAAAATTGGTTACACAGCAGTAAGTTATGCTGTGGTCTCTGAATCCTGCTTAGAAGGCACAGTATTTTCTGTTTTTGAGAGTTTGTTCTTTCTTTTTTTTTTTTGCTTCTTTTTCTTTCTTAAGATTTTTGAGAAAATAGAGGCATTCTGGAAATGCTTCTCTCTCTTAGGAAGTTTCAGCTGATTTAAACAGTATCAGTTATAGCAAAATACTTAAACGGGCCATAAAACAAAAATGTCTCAAGTCAGAATTTGCTTCTCCAAGAATTTGCTTCTATATATTAAAAGAAGAGACATGTTATAGTTCAGTTAATTACACATATAATAATATATGGATATATTGTTTCTGGCAATTAAATGTCACAAGTCATCTTTGATACTGTACATATTAAATGTGAGCTTTGTTTAACTTACAGTATTCCCAAATAATAGGAAACAGGCTTTGCTAGTTTACTTGTGCAGTTTTATTAATTTACTCAAGTGATATATCAGAGTGACACAGTAATTATACAACAGTAAAATCATGTCAGCCATTACTGAACTATTAGTGTCTGTCAAAATGAGAAAGAAACGTTGGGAAAAGTCAGAAGATAAAAACCTTACAGTGTTATTAGTTGTAGGCAAAGCCCAAGTACAGTATGGGACAGCAGTTATCCCTTGCTGAATATATGCTGGGATATTTTATAAAATTTAATTCAGAAAGGGTTTCTGGTGGTTTGAAAAGTGATTATCAGCCAGTACTCATTAGCTGTATAAAGATAAGACAATTTACAGCACTCTTCATTTGAATATCAAAGGGTCACCTAGTAAGGTTTGCAGGACTAAACACAAGGCAAATGACCTTATCTTCTTTATCTTCAAACAATGCCTTTAATTTCTAAAACCTTTTGAAGGGTTGCCAGTTTTATGGAGTGTAGCAGCTACTTATCTGATAGAAAAGGCTTTTTCATCAAGGGGAAATGACCTTTTAACTCCTGGTAACAAAGCAACTGCTTTTCCACTTTGGTTTTGTTATTGAAGGTAATATGCATAGGCATACTTATTAAAGTGGGAATACAAAACAAGAATTAGGAAATAGCTTTTTGTCTTTTAGATGATTCAGAGTTTTTTATGTTTTGTTTTTTCTTCTGAAATTGCTCAAAACAGTTTACATTCTGACAGATTGTGCTGTGACATTATAATGATATTAACAAAGCCAGATGCTGTTTACTTTTATACTCTGAAAATAACAAATCTACTAATCCCATAAGGATTTCAGTGTGAATAAGGAAAGTCTGACCACACAGTTCTCTGCAGCTGCCTCATTAAGAAGAAGCACAAGAAAAATCTTTTAAAGAGCAAAGAAGAACTCTCTTTATCATCTTCAGGCATATTTGCAGGAACGGTGAAGCCTATAGTCATTAAGGGTAAATTCATTATTTTGGGGTTTCACACCATCCTGTATGATTGAGGAACATAAAAGGGACCTCCATGTGTGTAGCTCCTCTGCTGGAGTATTTTAAGTAAAGCTACCACCACAATAATAAAAGCAACTTAGAGATTCATAGATGTGGGCTAATACTACATAAAGCTTCACAAACTTTTCTCAGACAACTCCATAAGACAGTCTGTCAAAAGATAGACAGTGACTTAAAGAAGTCTTTTTATGAACATACTGAATGTTGAAATAGGTAGTTATTTATACATTGGCATCAACATTTCTTTCCCTTTACAAGCCTTTCATGTAGTAGGAGGGCTGTGAAAATTTGGAATTCTTACATGGCCTATATGCAGAGTCAAAAACTAGTACTCAAGATCATGAAATTCATACAAATTAAATTAAAACATTATATATGAATGAGAATCTTAGTGTATTTGAGGCTGAAGGGAGTGAAGAAGAAAGATGCAGTGCAAATTGAATGAGTAACTAGAGAGTATGAAGTGCAACCAAGACAAGCAATTAACTTTGCAAGACAAAAAAGCAATGGCACCATGACTTAAAGAAACAGTTGCTAAGGCAGAAAATAACCTGGCATGTTAAACTACTTGATCTCTCTTTTAATCCTATGAGCTTTAATCTTCCTCTCTCTGAAAAAGTGAAAACCAAAATAAACCAATGCAATTGGCTTTATGCACAGTCACAACAAAAGTAACCCTATGATTCTGGTCCTGTGACTGCTCCACTATTAGATTAGATCAGATGAAAATGCACAAGGACTATAAACTTTAATACTTCTGGGCAAAACCCAACTACTAACTGCCTAGAGTTAGGAGGAAAGTTTCCTGTGGACATATCAGTACATAATTGTCCACTATTGGAGCATCTACACATGTATTTAAGTGCAACTAAATTTAATGCACATTAAGATAATGCACATTAAATGATTTTTTTTTTTTTGCCAGTTGTCTATACATGCAGATACTTGTCACTAAAGTTAGTGCCAAGTCCCTACAGCCTTGGCATGTGCACCTAGTGGCTGGGCAGACACAGAACTAAAGCTAGTGCTAGGTCGAATCGACACATGCATTAATGTGTTTCAACTAATTGCACCTAAATTTGATACCTGCATTTCCACGCACATGTAGATGCACACCCATAATGCATATTAAATTGGGCTAATGTGCAGTAATGCATCTCATGTAGATACATCTTATTGAACTTTTATATCTTCCTCTTAGGCATCTGGCATTGGCTTCTACTAGATGCAGGACATTAAATGAAGTACATCAAGACTAAAGACATAAACTGATATAAGTGATTGGAAACTTTCAAATCTGTAATACAACAGAAGTTCAGCACACATAAATCTCTTTCAAAATGGTCAAAACTGGTTTAAGATAAACCTGGATGGAGAAGTATCAGACATAACTGACACAGGTTAAATTGGTTTATTGAACTTCTGTCCCAGATCCCCTCCAGATTCAGGTTAATTCACAGTTCCCCAGCATACCAGGATGCTTTGCATCTCCCCTCCAAGTTCCCACCTCTCAGGGTGGGTAGGCTACCCTTGGCCCAAGCTGTCTGCTCTAACTGAGCAAAGAGGCATGCTCTAACATCTTGCCACCCCCACCACCTGGGGCTTCTGGCCTGGGCCACTGCAGGCATTTGGCTGCATTTCCAGAATCGAAAGTTAATATCTGTTCACTTGCTTATCAGTTTAATCTACACAGCCTGGACTAACCTGTAAAGACTGCATCAATTCAGCCTCGGGCTGTTTGATTGTCTGTAGTACTTAGCCCCGTTGTCTATGGGTAAAGCAGTTCTCAGCTCCCTATGTTTTAGTTTCTACCCTCCTTCCTAGCTCTCCTGTTGACATTTGTTATTTCCCTTCTTTGTGCCTTAATTTAAGGTCCAAGCCTCATTTTATGGTCCAACCCTTAAACTAAATAGTCCATATTCATCTGGCAGATATGTGCATCGAGACTATGTGAAAATACAACAGTGTTTAGGAATAGTGGGGTAAGTGAGCAATGACAGTTCACAAGGAAAATGGAGCAAAATGTTTTTTGTATCTTATCCAACTTTTGTTTGTTTGTTTGTTTTACAGTGTAATAATATTTATATATCAAGTTGGGTTTCCTTTTAAGCAGCATATATGGAAAGTAACTGCCCTGACCTCAATGGAATTAATACAATGTGCACTTACAGGAAATAAGGTTGGAATCTGACGTTACATGATTATTATAGGCAGAGCACATAATAAGCCTGTAGTAAAGGTGGCACGTTGACTTCTATTTGCTCATAACATTTTCAGTCTTCTCTCTGCCTAAAATATGGAACAGTTACTCTCAGTACAGACTAATTGTTTCATAAGAAAGCCAACATGGTGCAGCTGTTTGGAGTAATGAAGAGAGTGGGAAAAATACTCTTTTACATTAAAAAATATTGAGTGACATGTTTGAACAGCTTTAGTATGTCAGTGGTGGATGCTAGAAACTTGAAATTTGGCAGGCAGACAATCCCTAACTCACAGATGTGCCTTTTGATGGCCTGATGAAAATTGATTATGATTTGTCAAAGTTATAGAGATTTACAAAATGCATTTAGTGCAAGAACACTGGACTCTGTGGGCACCTATACATGTACCTGACACCTGCTCTGATGCATGCTAATTAGCACATATTGGAGCAGACTCAATTAATTGAGTCTGCTGAAGGGTGCTAATTAGCATGCTCCAGCAGCCTTGAGATCACATGTATGCAGCATCCCTGCACTTCAAAATGGCAGCAAGGGCTCTTTAACTAAAGCTTACTGAACGAGCCTTAATTAAAGTGTTCTCACCACCATTTTAAAGTGTGGGACACTGAATACACAAGATGCTGTGGGTGCTTTAATTACAGCAGTTTAATTAGAGAGGAAATGGACTAAAACTGGAAATCCAGTTAAGCCTTATGGCTCAGGAAGGCCTTGGAAAATCCAAAAGCACAGACAACATGAAATATAAATATTAACTTAAGGAAACTTTAGATTCTTGCAAAAAGCAAACTTATTTTGATTGTTTAATAAGGTTTAATAGGGCATGTGTAGATGAAATGAGGGGCATGTGTGCACAACATTTTAAAGTGGATTAAATGCTTTTGCACCACTTTAATGATGTTGTTGTTCACATGTATCAGAGGCATATTCCGCATTAATTCCAGCCACTGTAGCACATTCAGCAGCATAACGCACCTTAAATGACTTTGGGGCACAGCAAACTAAAACACCTCTGAGGAGTTTTAGTTTATTGCCTTACAGCTGTGGAATGAAGCACCAGGCTCTGTGGGGCTCAGGTGCTCTGCAGGCATCCCATGCAGTCAGCCTGGAAGCAGCCTGGGAAGGCAGGCTCCACTGAGTGCAGGGG